AAGCACGCTAAGACAAAAGACACACAAAGACTCAAACCTACAAAGCACACAATGACAAGAACAAAACTACCACCCCGGTCCAAACGACTACCCAACAACCCTAATCCTAGATCTCCAAATGTTCCTATCTAATGTCATATCCTTGATAAGAGCTAGGAGTCCTAAGTTCTGCCTAATACCCTCCTTCCAATTCTTCCTAGGTATATCCCTTCCCTTAAACCCATCTCCATAGTTTTGAAAGGCGAGAGGCAGGCGAGAGGGCCTTTTTTAAGGCCAAAGGCGAGGCGAGAGGCAGGCAGCCAAAAGGCAAACTTGCAGCATACACACACATAAAATTTACAGTGCAGTGCAATTAATAATGTCAATCCCAAGCAAGTCATACATGTTAAACAAAACAATTACAATAGTTACTACATATATTTCTGAAAAAAAAACAAGTATTAAATATATAGAAATGTATTTAAAAATGTCAGCTCATTTTTTAAAAGGCCCATAGCCAGTAAGGCGAGAACGGCGAACAACTCACGCGAAAAAGGCAAGAAAAGCGAGCGACTTAGGCGAGAAAGGCTACCTGCGCTATAAGGTCGCCCAGGCGCCTGAGGCGCCTTGGGCGAGGGAAGCGCTCGCCTTTCAAAAACTATGTCAAGCTCGTAAGCCTCTCGCATGTCTGCACCAGGGCATCGGGGTGACGCTGCCTCATGTGACCAAACCATATCAACTTAGCCTCCCGCAACTTATCCTCCACCGGTGCCAAACCCACACGTCTTTGGATGACCTCATTCCCGATCCTATCCAACCTCGTCTACCCACACATCCACTGCAGCAAACACATCTCAACCGCACGCAACTGACGAATGTGAGCTTTCTTAACCACCCAACACTCTACACCATAAAGTATAGCCAGTCTAACTACCGACCGATAGAACCTCCCTTTCATCCTTTGTGAAATCTTCTTATCGCAAAGAACCCCTGACGACAACTTCCACTTCACCCAAGCCGCTCGTATACAGTGGACAACATCCCCATCTACCTCTCCAATAATGAAACATATCTCTCTTGGGCACTAGGAGTGCATCAATCCTAACTTCCGAGCACCCGTTCAATTTGGTGGTTAGTGTAATCTTAAGTGAGTGGGACGAGACTTGAAACAAGTACTAAGAGACACTAAGGGTGCTAGAGCATCTTCTAAGGCATTCACACACAGAATGCAGATAAACAAAGTAAATGAAACACAATGATATGTTAACACAATTTGGAAAAAAAACTCTGTAATTGGTGGGGCCCAGGAACGTGTAATAACCCTTCACTAAACCTTCTGAGTAGATTACACTGATCACTACAACACGAAGACTCTTCTCAGAAGTAATGGCCAAACCTCAATCTGCAAAGCTTTTATTTCAAACATTATGCCTTCTTAAAGGATATTACATATCGATTCCCAATTAGCAGTTTCTCATCAACTGGAGAAATGATGACGTCAGAGTAGCAAAGACATCGTTGGACGTCAACGCACACCTAGCTAAAGGATATTACATATCATTCCCAATTAGCAATTTCTCTCTATGTATTCGACCACCCAATATGTAGAGAGCCTTGGTGTATATATCCGCAAGATGCAAACTTCAGTTGGACAATAGTTGAATTCTTCTAACACCAAATTGACTTGTAATTGAGATCCTAAACTCTCATGATCTCATCGTTAGGACTCTTGCAATATCATCATGCCAAGGTGCCCTCGTGTAGTTATAGCTATCTCAACACTTCTCAAAAACACATGCCATCAACCCTATCTTTTGAAATATAACAAAATACAATACCGTCAACATAAATATGAACAATGAGAATATCATAATTCTACCTTATAGATAACATTATATCATGTGCTCCCCGCAGACCTATCCTTCTTTAGCTGGATATGAAGTGAGTCTTTCACATCATGCCTTTGGTCCTTGCTTCATAATGTATAGGGTTTTTCATAGTTTGTACACATGTGAAGAATGTTTTGAGTCTTCAAAGCCTTTTGGTTGTGCAACATACATTTCCTATTTGAGATATCCATTTAGAAACCTTATATTAACATCCATTTGATAAAATTTCATGATAAGGATACAAGCCATACTAATCTACAGCTGTGGAGACTCCAACTTTTCTACGTGAGTGAAAGTCTCATCAAAATCCACACCTTATCACGTGTATTACCTTGAGCCACAAGTCTTACCTTGTTCCTGATGTTGTTATCATCTTCATGACTTCATCTGTTTTGTTTCTTAATACCATTGTGTACCAATAACATTTGTGTTATCAGGTTTTGGTTCACAGTTCCAGAAAGCCTAACTTGTTTCTTCTTTTTCCAATTCTTGTCAACCCTAGTTGGAGAATAGTAAAATTCTTCTACATGCAACGGAGATCCTAAATTCTCGCCTTTAGGACTCTTGGCAACTCATCATGAGGTGTCTTTGTGTACTTGTAGCTATTGAAATGCTTCTCAAAAGCACAAGTCATATACCACTGGAGGTTGAATATCCTTGGATTCTTCTTTCACATACTCCTTGCATAGGACTGTGTCAGGATGGCCCTGCATGATGATGTGCAGGACGTTGCAACTTCCTAATCTATGCAACTACAAATTTCTATAGTAAAATAAAAACTATTCGTTTGTTGAAACATATTGCCAACCAATGTGTACAAAACGTAGTGGAAATAAAGCTAAGTTGTGCAAATAAATATATATCTAAAATGAGCATTGGGCATATGTCGGATGTACAAGAAATATAATACATCTGGATATATCATATAAGAACTCCTCTTAAGTTGGGCACTCATTCTAACAATTGTTGGGTGATTGGTGATATGTTTTACTCAAAATGGTTTCTCTTCCTTCTCAAGATTGGATTTCAGAGCTCATAAAATCGGTTAAGACCAAAACACTAAATGTTAGAAATTATAGAGGATGAACGCTGCAAAGAAAAGTTGAAGAATCAGTAAACGAAGAACGAGAATTACGACTTGATAGTTTAACGAATCGCGAATACGCTTTGAGATCAAAGTTATTTCGGGGTATATCAAAATACTTTAATTAGATAAGACGTTAATCAAGAACAAGCTTTTTGAATTACCTTCTCAACCATACCTAGCGACTCCTTTTATAGAGTTGAAGATTTTGGCGAGCAGACATGAACGTTCGCGTAAAGGAGGCGTACGTTCGCGCAACAGGGAGAGAACCGAATTATGCCAAAGGCATAGGTGTTCGCGCGTTAATATCCTTTCGGTTTTTTGGTCAATTTTGACGTTTATCCGTATGTCTAAATCTTCAGGATTTCGGACTCCGTTCACGAAAAACTGAAGGATTTTCATGAAACAATAGCGTCCAAAATTTAAAAAATCCAAATTGTCCCGGCAGCTCGACCCCGGCCAGGGGCTCTGCCCCTTGGACCCCGCTATCGCCCCTTGGACCCCGCTATCCGGGGGCTTCTGCCCCCCGACCCTCGCTATGAATTTGTAATATCGTTGAACGAGTGAACACTCCGCATCTTCTAACTCATTTGACTATTCAAATTCTTGTCTGATCTAAGTAAATCCAATCATACAAAATAGCCGATGACACTAAAATCACCAACACTAAACAAGAAAGAGCTGTTTCTCCCTCACCTCACAAAACATGATTTTAGACTACCCTTAGTAGACACTTCTTTGCTTCTAAGTAAAATGTCATGAGTCCCCATCATATAAACTGGCCAATACACGAATGCTAAAAATAAGTAAATTTATCATTTTAGAATAGAGAAGAGGCATACTCGTAATCGAGGCTTTCAATAGGGCAGACATTGGAGCCGACGATGGCAACTTGGGAAGTGCTATTGGAAGCAGAACGACGGAGGGGACGGTAGCAATTGGGGTTCAGCAGAGGCTGAGTTCGCGACTCCACCTCTCCGTCAGCCGCCGCGGCTGGTGGTGCTCGGCAGCAAAGAAGCGTCGGAGGCATGGGAGTGCGTGAAAATTCCGTAGGGAATGACGGTTACTCAGAAGGGAAATGCTTTTGTGGTAAGGTCCACACAATTTTATTTTACACACTTTTTTTGCAAAAATAAATTAAAAAAAATAAAACTCCATAAAACCTCCTTAAAGCTCACAAAACGCTTAAAAGAGTACCGAGAGAGTTATAAATACAAAATTTACAAAGTGAAGTTTGCACTAAATAGGACTAAAACATACTCTCTCTGTCCTAAAAAGAATTTCTTACTTTGATTAACGTGCAAAACCTCGTGGATTTTAAAATGATTTTATTTACAAATTGGTAAGGAAATAATACATAAAAAAATTATATTTAAAAAATACATTGAAATCTCTACAAAATAAGAGGTGACAAGAATATTTTATTTTATCAAATAACCAATGAAAGCACGCAAACAAATAAGAGTTATCGAGAGACCGTGATAGTAAACAGGAAAGACTTTTTGGGACGGAGAGAGTAAGTCATTTCCCAATGTAGGAAACTCTTTTATTCCCTAAATAGGACTTAATAATGACTAGTGAAAAAAATAATGTCCAAGTGATGCTGAACATTTAGTTGAATAATGACTAATTGATAATGACCAATGGTCCTATAATGAGAAATAAAAACATATGGTCCTATATTGAGAAAGTCATTATGTTTTAGTCCTATTTAGATAAATTACCCACTTACAAAATACACAAACATGTTGTTTGAATATTTAAATTTTTGTTTTTTAACTCTTTAAATTTTTTTTTGTTTTCTTGGTAAAATATATAAATAATAAAATTGTGTATTTTGTAATTTGTATATTTGTGATTCTAGCATTTCTTATTACTAACAATACTCAAGAACACCAACCGTTTTAAAATAATAGCTCAAAAATGACTTCAAAAATATAGCAAGAAAAATGTGATAAAAGCTTAGAATTAGTGAAGAATTGTGTGTTTAAAACAAGCCCAAGACGCCCTTTTATAGGTTAAAACATAGAATTATTGAGGAGACACAAAGGATCGTAATTAAGTCTGATGGATACCCCGAACAGGGGGTATCCGATCTTTGTATAATATTAGTTGAGGCGGTCCAGTCTGTTGGGCCGGCCCATTATTCGTATATTTGTTATTTAGGGCGGCCCAGTCTGTTGGGCCGGCCCATTAATCCGAAACCCTAACCCTAGCTCCTCTATTTATACTCCTCTTCTTGGAAGAGGAGAGGGAGGTTGGAAAGAGGGAGGCTCAACATACACTCACACTATTCATCTTCTTCTCCATACACTTCTCCTTCTTTCCTACCCTTGGATTCCTTAAGCCAACATTGGTGCTTTCATTGAGAGTGTCGGACACATCAAGCGTGCTCTCAAAATTTTTCTTGTTTTTCGTTCATCATTTTTTTCCAGATTTTCACCATTTTTCCCTAATCTGGAAAACCCGAACTTAGAGTGGGAGATTTGTGTTGTTCATCCTCTTCTAATTCCACCAAGAAAGATCTGCGATGATTTGGCCAAAAAAAAAAACCCAGATCCCGTGGTTGAGATGGATTTCCCGGAGGTTTCATCAGCTCCACCGCCGATTCATCAGCTCCATCGCCGATTCAGTGAAACGAGACACGCCCTCGTCCCTTCGCCGTCGGGAGGATCGGCCACGCCTGCGGACTCGTCATCGACGTTCGCCGGCTCAACCTAGCACAGTATATCCCCGTCTCTAAAACCCATCGGTGACCCCCTGCACTCCGACGAGCACAGCGACGGGCCAAATCCAGCAGCCTGACGCTCACCGCCGGTGACTCCCGCGGAACTCTCCCTTCTCCGTTCGGAGATCCTCGTCGAGGAGCGCCGCACCTCGACCGGGAAGGCTCCCAACTACATCTCGTCCTCGCCTGATGGATCTTGGTCGCCGTCGCATCCAATTCGTCTTCCTCGCCGTAGTCGCTGCTCGCACAGCCCCGTCTCACCCTCCCGCCGCCACAGGTTCCACTACAGTTAACTATGGAGGGTACAACCCATAAAAACCCGATTGGACAGACCCGGTATACCACCGCAGGTTGCCGGAATGGGCTGGAGCACGCCGGCGCTGATGGTTGAAACTCACCATAGCTATTCTTCGAAGCAAACGCCATCACCTAAGCTAATCGCTGGGCACTGACCCTACCCCGCCGAAAGTCGGTCTTCACCCACACATGACGCATGATGTGCCAGCGAGAAAGAAGCTGCTTTCACTGGCGACGGGTCAGCGGCTATTCCTGCAATCCGTTCCCTACTCCTTGCCAGTTTCCGGATATTCTATTCTAATTTGTGGCAAAGGATAAGTTGATGATTCGGAATAATTTGGCCAATTGATGCTTCTAATCGAAGAACAGATGACGGTGAGACAGTCAATTGAAGTCTCTGATCGGCAGATGAAGGCTTGTCGAAAGCCGATCCTTCATTGGATTGGACACATGATAATCATAAGTGCTCTGCGCGGTTTTCCAATCTGCTCATGGTCATCCCAAGCTAGTCTGACCTCGTCTTTGAAATACCATCAGTGGATGGGCATGAACTCGACATCTTGGAGGATACGACGGTTGTGGTCTCTTCAGCAACTTTGTGGTCAGCCTGACCTGCTACGCGATGCTACCGACCGGAAGAAGCTATTTTCACCGTCAACTGGGCTAGCCTGAGCAACTGGGCAGTATCGGTTTTTCCTTCAGCCGATGATGAGGGAGGGAATTCCTTCGTGGTCCATTCTTCTGCCGTCCGTAGCCGAGCATGGTCTGGCAGGCTGCCGGGCAAGGATGTGTCATGATGAGCAGAGTGGGATGTATCTACCGTGCTCTAGTCTATAAGCAAGAGAGTCAGGCTAGAGAGTTGAAGGAGTGGGGCCCTGCATCTATTTGCATCAAATAATGGAGCACATATCAAGAATGGGCCCGGGTGAATGACATGATGGTATCTAATCTTCACTATTGTTGCGTATGAGGACTGAGGTTAGATATTAACTACTGTTGCAGATTGAATTGTGGTGTTATTATGGAGTACTCCATATTATTATTATTATTATTACGTATTTTTAAAGACAAAGAACAAGGGTTGTTTCGTTAATATTTGTGGGCCCATTTCCAATTTGCCCATGTGATATCTCGTAGGGAGACTAAAATTGAGTGGGCTATAGTTGTTGTGATGGTGGGGAACCACCATTAGAATAGTGGAGGGATACTTTGCAGGCAATCACATCACACTGTGATGTTTTGGGCCGACTTTCGAAGCATACTCTTCAACAGGGAGATAGGGAGTAGATATGGGAAAGTTGGAAAAGGTGGGGCCTACGTCAGCTTGTATCAACTACTGGGGTACGAATCGATTAGCTTCATTTTGATCTCGTCTTAGGGGTACAGTACCCTAGGTGAGAAATGTTAAATACCGTGCCGGTTCACCGTCACTGATTTGGCCTCTGCACCCAGGTCCAGAGTGGACTCTATATTTCTCTCTCTCTCCTCTTATGCATCTAAGTCGAAATCACACACGGCCGAGTACGTGACAGTTTCAGAGGCCGAGCTTATAATTTTTAGTGGAGTTCGAACCGAGCTCGAGAAGGTGACCGAGTCCGAACTCAAGGTCATGACGGAGTCTGAATTCGCCCGATAGCGTTATGAGCTCTGGCTCAGTGGTGGTGCTCTCCACCAACCGGCTCCATTGGTGCTGGGTGCGCTCTATTCGGCCGAGCACCTGTTCTAACTCCAAATAACTCGAGGGGCTTTGAGAAGTTTGTCCCGGTCTTCTCTTCATACGACAGAGTACATGTTCTGATATCCAAGTTTGATGATCTCCATCACCTCTAATCTCACTGGAATGCGACCAACCTTCACGATCTAGCTCAAATATGCAACAACTCCTTATTTATATGATTCCTACTCAGATTTGCGCCACTACTCAGATTTGCGCCATTACTCAGATTTGTGCCACTTTGCTTCTACGACTTGGGTTTTTCATCAAAAAGAAAAGAAAGGAAAAGAAAATTCATAAAAAAATATATCGCTTCCACGCGATTTCATTTTCGCTTCCACGCAACTTTGTGCAGCTGTGCACCATCGGGCTTCCACGCCACGATATGGCCTCACGCAGTCCTCGTCATTGCGCGAGCAAATCCCTCCGGAGGGTATTGCAAGGTCCTGCTTAGGACAAAATCTTGCCAGTCCTGCTTAGGACAAATATTAGATCTGGTGAGATCGCACTTCTACGCTACCACGCGTCATCGGCGCCACGCCGCCCAACAAAAAAAAGCAACAACAACAAAGGAATTTTTCATATTTTGTCTTTCAGGTACATAATGGAAGACCACATGGCATTTGCAACCGACCCCGCCTAGCAGAGCTCACGGATGGCACATTATTTCACTCTTTTCCCGAGGTCGGCCTTAGCCGCCTCGCAAAGAACTTAAGCCCTTGTATCCCGAGGCACCCAAAAGCCCTCTCCCGAGGTCGGTCCCATCCACCTCACGAGGCACTCGACTCCTTTCCCGAGGTCGGCCTCAGCCACCTCGCAAGTTACTCAAGCCCTTGTCTCCCAAGACAATTAAAAGCCCTCTCCCGAGGTCGGCCCCATCCACCTCACGAGGCACTCAAGCCCTCTCCCGAGGTCGGCCCTAGCCACCTCACGAGGCACTTGACTCTTTGCCCAAGGTCGGCCTCGGCCACCTTGCAAGTTGCTTAAGTCCTCGTCTCCCGAGGCACCAAAAAGTCATTCCCCGAGGTCGGTCCCGTCCACCTCACGAGGCACTTAAGCCCTCATTCCCCGAGGCAATCAAAAGCCCTCTCCTGAGGTCGGCCCCATCCACCTCACGAGGCACTTAAGCCCTCGTCTCCCGAGGCAACTGAAAGCCCTCTCCTGAGGTCGGCCTCGGCCACCTCACGAGGCACTAAAGTTATCTCCTAGACAATTCCAACTCTTTTCCCGAGGTTGGCCTTGACCACCTCGCAAGGCATATAAGCCCTCGTATCACGAGGCTTCCAAAGCCCTCTTCCCGAGGCACTCTTCGATGCCGTCCCAAGGCACACCCCTAGCCCACTTTCTAGGGCACAACCTAACTACTCACAGGGTGGGTGATCTGGTCAAGCTTATTGGCCAAGCCCACCAGTTTATTTTTCTTTGTATGAGATTTTTTCAGGCAAACTGATATATGAAGGGAAGTCGCTACAGAGCGAGGGGACCAAAGACTCCCACCAGAGCCGAGCATGAACACTACTCCCTTTCTCCTTGGAATTCTTCCTCGGCTTAGGGAGTGGGAGACTCCGGGTACTCGGCTCGTGATTGTTACATCCCACATCGTGAAAGTTTGGCAGATCAACATCTAGATCTAACATGGCACCGCAGCAGTTCGTGTCGGCATGCACTCTTTGGCAATATGGCGAACGGCCCCGACTCCGGACAATGAGTTTGGGAGACTCGAAGAGCGCCTCTTCCGAGTTCACACAGTTTCTTTACTCGAAGACCCCACACCTTGTTTCAATGTTTTCTTGATTCACTTTGTGGGACGAGATGTACTCTTTTCTTGACCGAGGATTTTTTCCCATCCTCATGGGTTTTTTCCTCGGCAAGTTTTTAATGAGGCATCCCCCATGGAGTGAGTCACACATTGACGGGATCATGGGGAGATCCCCAAAGACGACAGATGGACTGCGGATGATGACTCCATCACCCACTCTTATTGTGATCGTTGAGCGCTGAACAACGAACTGACGATGCATTCTGTGCGAGAGCAGATCATTTAGAGACGATGAGCACATTGAGGCAGACTTTTTACCTTGCCGCTCCGGATCGCGAGTCGGCAGCACACTTCATGCTCATTGCCTCAATTTCTTTCACTCTGCCACTCTGGACAGCGAGTCGGCAGCGCACTTCGTGCTTAGTGCTACGATTTATTCCCTTTGCCGCTCCGGACAGCGAGTCGGCGGTGCACCTCGTACTCATTGGTGCAGACCCTTTCACTTTGCCGCTCCGGACAGCGAGTCGGCAGTGCGCTCCATGCTGATTGGAGCAATTTCTTTTACCTTGCCATTCTAGACAGCGAGTGGCATCTCCTTTCATGCTCATTGCTACAACTTATTTCACTTTGCCACTCCGGACAGCGAGTTGGCAGTGCAATTCATGCTGATTGCTTCTACTTCTTTCCCATTGTCGCTCCGGACAGCGAGTCGGCAGAGCACCTCGTATCCATGGGTGCAGATTCTTTCACCTCGCCTTACTCTGGACAGCGAGTTGGCATTACATTTCTGACCTATGGCGTTGTTTGCCTTACTTCACCGTGCTCGGGACAGCGAGTTGGCGGTGCACTCTAGACAGCAAGGAAGACGGTGTCCTTCCGTGGTGGATTTTTGCTCTACTTTCACTTCACCTCGAGTTTCTCACGGCTCGGAAAGTGGGGTACTCATGATGGATACCCCGAACAGGGGGTATCCGATCTTTGTATAATATTAGTTGAGGCGGTCCAGTCTGTTGGACCGACCTATTAGTTGTATGTTAATTATTTATTTAAGGGCGGCCCAGTCTGTTGGGACGGCCCATTAATCCGAAACCCTAACCCTAGCTCCTCTATTTATACTCCTCTTCTTGGAAGAGGAGAGGGAGGTTGGAAAGAGGGAGGCTCAATATACACTCACACTATTCATCTTCTTCTCCATACACTTCTCCTTCTTTCCTACCCTTGGATTCCTTAATCCAACATTGGTGCTCTCGTTGAGAGTGACGAACACATCAAGCGTGCTCTCAAAATTTTCCTTTGATTCATACATCATTTTTTCCGATGTACCGAGTATCAATTTTCTTTTATAGAAAACAAAAAATCACAAATGCATTTTTCTCCCCTGCTCATGATTTTTTACAAAAAAAAGAGTGGAGATGGCAGTTTTCTTCTCTGCGAAGTGGGGGAATTCACAAAAAAAATGAATTTCATTTCCTGGATCCACTGTAAAAAAGTGGTCGCCAGTCGCCACCGTTGGATGCTGAAGACTGCAACGGCCGACTCCATTCTCTCTCCACCAGGTGCAGCTATGCTTTCAGCTCGCCGGACGGGGTCATCGACGCCGGAGTACAGCGTCGCTCTCCGCTCCAGAGTGCTATTCTCAAATCTGGACCAGGGAAGCTCAACCAGCCGATGCTCTCCATGTCCAAACCCAATCAGTCGCAGCAAATTTCAGCACTTCCCAAACCAGCCGGAGTCATCCCGGTGTTGCCGCAATTCAGTCATTTTTTCTGAAGTGCCGAAATGCAGCGCCAATTTTTCCAGCAATTTGAGTAGCTCGGTCCCCAAGACCGCGTTAGACGGTCGCGACTGTTGCTCGGTCTCGCCATCAACCGCCGCTGCTTAGTCGCCGCCTCCACGGACCCCGTCAGTTACTCCGGAAGTCGATCGACAGCGGATCCTACAGATCCGTCAGGATGGCGGATGGATCCCTTCCGAGTTCATTCTCTCAACGCCGGTGGCCATGGCGGATGGATTCCTTCCGAGTTCATTCTCTCAACGCCGGTGGCCTAGAGGGGCGGACATATGGACTATTTGAGCTGACAGGCTACGGACTATTGATTGAGACAAGACAACTCATTTTGACAGGAAAGCAACAGTTCCTTTGCATTATTGCTCCGTATGGGGGGCTGCACAATTCAGAGTCTCAGACCAGGGAGCAACAAAATAAAAAAAAGATAAGTCTTTTACACCTAACATGTCAGTTCAACTATTCCTTATTTATTATTATTTTTTACCATATTATCAATATGGTAATTCCTATCATTTACTCCATTATTATTACTATTACCTTGTCCACTACATGTGATCGGACTTCACTTGGACGATGGTATTACGCTTTGTGTTCAACACTTTAAGCCCTGATGTGGGACGAGTGCGAAGCTTAATCTCACACCCCACACAGGCCAGCGACCTGCCTCATGGCTCAGATCCAACTCATTTAGTCATTCCTTAGCGAGGCCGGGTAAAACCTCTCTCTACGAGGTGTTGAAGATCGTCCGCGACGATAATATCGCGAGGCCGAGGTAAGCCGTCCATCTCGATGCACTCCTATCCGTCTTCCACGACGCGATCTCATTTCCTCTTCCACGAGGCCGAGGTAAGCCGTCCACCGCGACGCACTCCCATCCGTCTCCCACGACGTGATTTTAGTTCCTCTTCCACGAGGCCGAGGTAAGCCCTCCCTGCGAGGCACTCCAAATCGTCCGCGACGATATTATTCGCGAGGCCGAGGTAAGCCGTCCATCTTGACACACTCCTATATATCCGTCTTCCACAACGTGAACTATTTGCTCTCGGATCTAAGGCGAGGGGTGCATCCTTTGTGCCTATCTCACTTACCCGAGCAGCTCTCATTTGAAGACCCTGGTCTTACTAAGGATGACGTCAAGGTTTGTTCTAGACCAGACTACTACACGATCGGCGCACTTTGCTGATAAAGCCTATTTTTTGTCTCAAGCTTTGGACTTGACTCGTACATTGACTTACTTTTCTCGATCGCGTGGTGATCGATTCATCCGAGCCCGCGAGCGCCTTGTGTTCTTTTTTGAACTTATTTTGCAGGTTTGAAGGATGAGAAGGCTAGGCTCAGCCTTAGGCACCGCGTGAGGCACTTGAGCTCGGCCAATTCAACTCGAGCTCAGCCTCATCAACTCGAGCTCGGCCTCATCCACTCGAGCTCAGCCTCATCAACTCAAGCTCGGCCTCATCCGCTCGAGCTCAGCCTCATCAACGCGAGCTCGGCCTCATCCACTCGAGCTCGGCCTCATCAACGCGAGCTCGGCCTCATCCACTCGAGCTCGGCCTCATCAACGCGAGCTCGGCCTCATCCACTCGAGTTCGGCCTCATCCACTCGAGCTCGGCCTCATCAACTCGAGCTCGGCCTCGGCCATCTCATGAGGAAGCCAGAGACTCTCGCCGGTGCCGAGCATTGACACTACTGCCTTTCACCTCGGAATTCTTCCTCGACTTAGGGAGTGGGGGACTCCGGGTGCTCGGCTCGTGATTGTTACATCACAGATCGTGAGAGCTTGGCGATCGACATCCCAACCTTGTATCAGATTGCAGTAGTCCGTGTCGGCATGCACTCGCCGGCAATCCATTATGTCGAACAGCCATCGACTCCGGACAATGAGTCCGGGGGACTTGAAGATCACCTCTTTTGAGATTCACACAGAAGACCTCACACCCTAGCAATGTTTTCTTGATCCACTCTATGGGACGAGATGTACTCTTTTCTTGACCGAGGATTTTTTCCCATCCTCATGGGTTTTTTCCTCGGCAAGTTTTTAATGAGGCACCCCCTGTGGAGTGGGTCACACATTGACGGGATGTGGGTGGATCTATGAAGATAACGACCTATTCATCCACTCTCACGGTGATTGCTGCACTCTGGATAGCGAATCGGCGATGTACTTTGTACAAGAGCAAATCATTTCAAGACAATGAGCAGAGTATGTGTTTCTTTTTGCCATTCCGAACAGCGAATTGGCATTACGTTTCTGACCTGTGGCGTTGCTTGCCTTACTTCACCGGGCTCGAGACATCAAGTTGGCGATGCAGCAAGGAAGACAGTGTTCTTCCGTGGCGAATTGTTGCTCTACTTCCACTTCACCTTGAGTTCCTCTCGGCTCGGAAAGTGGGGGACTCATGATGGATACCCTGGACAGGGGGTATCCGGTATTTGTATAATATTAATCAGGGCGGTTCAGTTTGTGCAATCGGCCCGTTAGTCAATTACTTATTTAGGGCGGCCCAGCCTGTTGGGCCGGCCCATTGGTCTTTGTATGTAAACCCTAGCCTTCACTCTCCCATTATATATACCCCTCTTCTTGGAAGAAGGAAGGGAGGAGGAATCTCATTCTACACACACACCACACGAGGAGCTCATTCCACACGCTCCGGACTTACGTTCTAACTGATATACCAACTAGTACAATATCACTCTCAATTTACTTGACCCCTCATACTTTGTACGCTCGTACTTAGTTCGATACTCATCCGCCTAGTTACCTAGGCCCCCGGGTTCCATAACCCAACAAAGTCAATCAATTAAATATTGATTTTAAAACTGGGTAGTAATAATCGAATGTTCATGAGAACAATTCGAATGTTGGCTTGCCAAAAGCTTCCATGGTTTGAAAAAGAGTCGTTGGCAAACGATAACATTTGACAATCGAATGTTCATGAACATTCACTTATTTCAGGTTTTTGCCAATTTAGAAAAGTTCTATGACTTTGACAATCGAAAGTTCACCTAAACATTCAGTTGTCAAAGGTTTTTGCAGACAATAAAATAACTTAATAAATAGTTCAAAATACATCAAACTTTAAAGCTTTTATTTTCGGATCGAACCCTTGTCAAACATAAATTGTCTGCATAAAGTAACCAAGACTTTGATCGAGTGTATGCCTATGTTTGTATTTAGAGTTTATTTAACGAAGACGATTATTATTTTCTTATAAGATTGTTCCGAAGTTACATGTGTGATCACTGGTCATGATGTTTACTATTTTTTTCTTTTCTGCATAGGTGTAAGACAAATTCTAATTTGTATTGTTTATGGGCCTGTTTGGGAATAACGTTAGAGATTAGCGTTAGCGTTTTTGATAAAATTTTAACGGTGCAGATTACTTTGAAAACGCTAACGCTAAACGCTGGCCGTAGATAGCTTTTTCAAAACGCTAACGCTAATATCTAACGTTATTCTCAAACAGGCACTATGTCGTTTTCTCTAGCTGTTAAAACACTAAAATTATAGATTTTTTTAGTATACTAAAGTTATGTAGCTTTGGTTAATGAAAAAGATGTGTATTTATATTATGGTTATCATGAATATAAAGTTGAGCAAATTTGATATACAAACATTCTGAGCTAAGTTGCTTGTTTTTTAAGGTCATTAAACATGTATGTTAAACATGTTAATTATTCTTTATAAAAGAACTATAATTATTCTTTAAACTATAATTCTTTATAAGGATAACATAAAAGAACTGCACGTGCCCGGTCATTTGGTATAATTCTTTATAAGGATAACATAAAAGAACTTCCAAGTTTGATCGGGCACGCACATTTAGGCAAAGTGAAAATATGATTGACTTTCCATAAATACCCCTCCCTCCTTCCTTCACTAACCAAACCTCCCTGACTCCTCCATAAACAGGCCACCCAATTCACCTACAGTACCAGGCCAGTAGAAATCATTGTTCATCCCACCCCAAAGGACTAGCTCAACACCTACAACGACCGGATTCCAGCCTCCCAATCCAAATCTCGTTGTTCATCTTGCTTTAGCTTAACACCGGCAATCATAAATCGATGGTCATGACCTTTCCCTAGTCTTCTCCCTAAGGAGATCGACCGGCCACTGACCCTCGCGGGAGACAAAACGCAAACAACTTTGCGATCTGGTGTAAAAAAGACTTACTTCTTCAGATCTGACGAAGAAGAAGACTCAATGACTGGAAGATTAGAAGAAAAAGAATAATCAAAGATGATGAAGGTTCAAACGAGAAAATTTTATTCAAAGAAGATTTGAAAAAGAAGAAAAAAAATTGATGCAGAAATGTTTTGAAGAAGAAGACATTTTGATGAAGAAGAAGATTTGAAAAAGTTTTGAAGAAAAAGAAGAAGAAGAAAAGTTCAAGTTGAGGAGGGCAGGTACGGTGGTGGAAGGAGAGAGAATATATGGCCGAGGGTGAATGAGTGATATTGGGGTGTGAAGGGGTTTGGATTAAGTGAGGAGAGGATTTTATTTGAAAGGGTAGAAAAGATATTTTACATACAAAAACTTGCCAAAAATAGAAACGGGAAGATAATTTGTGGACAGACTAAAATGGAAAGTGGGAAGATAATTTATGAACGGAGAGAGTATTTATTTTTGTGCTCAATATAAACAACTTTTTTAAATTGTATCAAATAATATTTTGACTATTTTAAATATTTTTATGTCGAAACAAGCTCTAAAATTCACCACATTGGTAAATTGAGGTATTTTCTTGACAAAATGATTTCATTGTTTTGTGGGTGGGTAAAACCACGCTAACATCTAAATGTTCATATATTGAGCATTCGTTTCTCTTCGTTTTTGGTTTTAGGCATTCAGATTAGTTTAACTTTTTGATTTTTTTAAAGAATGTCACCAACAATCAAATGTTCATTGTGAGCATTCGATTGTTGGTCTTAGGCATACTAGAGTGCCTCGCAGAACCATGAAAATAATATAATATACTCCGTAATGTTCAAGGTAGAAATTTGTTGACAATTTTACTAGTTTAATCCAAATAACTACTTTTTTACAACTATTGTAACTTAAAAAAACTACTTTTCCAATCTCATGCCTTGCATAATTACTTTTTCATGTCGAAAGTGAACATTCAAATGTGATTGTATAAATTTTTAATTGATCTTTTATTGATGGACCCAACTATTTTTGTTTGGTCATCCAAATATATCCCAAAGACCCCGACCTAGGAACAAGGAAGAAGTATGGCAAAGGAGACTGGAGTGTCACGACATAGGACGGGCCAAAGCAATATGCATTGGTTCAATCGTGGAGTATTCCATATATGAATGAATGTCCTCAATTTAATAGGTAAGAGAGTAATCTCGGCCCAACATTACCAGTCAATCCAAAGTATTACCACATGATATATCATACAATGCGGTGCACAAGATATCTGCATTATGCTAGTGAAAAAGTGAAAGACGATCTTTCCACGATAGATGGAAGAAATTTGTCCTTCCCGTACACGGTACACCCATGANGGGGGGTAGAAACCACACACACACAGAGACACATGTGAATGATCAAATATGTATAATGTTTGTAACAGATAATGAATAGGTAATGTAATAAATGAAGAATGACTGAATGGATATAATTCGAGCTTCATGTGATTCAACTTGTACCAATTACTATTTTAAAGGAAAAATAAAATAAAAGTAAAACATAAAAAATCAAAACAAAACTTTCTTATTTTTATCTTTAAAATAAAACAAATGCCAACATTTAAGAGTGTGTGTGTGTGCGCGTGTAATTTTCTAATGTGTAGTGTCACATTTTTACGGTGTTGTCTTAAACTGTGCGTAATGGGGCATCAAATGCCCCATTTACGCCACTTAACGATATAGTCTACCATCCCTCGAAGCTTGTAACGTTAGAAATTCTTTTCCAGCATGATACATTTGACGAGTTCTTTGGCTTTAAACTCTTACGCTGCACTTTAACCGTAGAAACAGTAAAAACATTAAAATAAAATGTGTTTTTTTACATATCCTTTTATTCATTTAATCCCATTAATCTAAATTATTTTACACATACATTCAAATTTTTATTTTTATTACTTATGTTTTTGTTAAAATTTTTATGAAATTTTCTATTAGGGTATGTATTATTCCATGTGTCCATTTTTTCTTCTCATTTCAAATAACATGTAAAATCTCATTTTTTATAAAATTAATTTATTTATAAATTGGTATATATCAATATAATGTATAAATTATATTATATTGTTCAAGAGTACATCGAAAAATCTTACAGAACAAAATGTAAAGAAAATATTTTATCATATCTAACGGTTAATGAAAACATACAATCATAAGTTGTCAAGAGATCGTAATAATAATTGGAAAAAAATGGGCAAAGGGCGTATTAGTTAAGTACTTTTTAAAATTTTAATGAATCATTTTATTTTTTTATTAATTATTCTTCAAGTTTTGTGCTTTTTTATTTTTAAACTAGTTGAATAAAAATGTAAAGAGATCATACAATCATAAGTTGTCAAGAGATCATTTTATTTTCAAATTATTCTTTAAGTTTTGTGATTGAAGAGGCTTGAATTGGGCAAGAACTACTACACACCTTTTTAACACAAATTTTGTATGCTTACATGGCATCTACATGGCAAAAAATGTCCCATACAGGCATGAATCACTACACATCGCAAATCATATGGTACAGTCGGCTGTACCTATCTCTGGGTACAGCAGACTATGATTCGAAGGAGGTGCAAATCACGAGGAGCAGAGATCAACGAAGGTTGAAAGGAGCAGCGAACCCCAGATCGGCGATGGTGAAGATGATGACGACGAAGGTGAAGATGATGGCGGCAAAGGTGAAGGTGACAAAGGTGATGGTGGCTGCTTTACAAATGCGGGAAGTCGTTGATATAGAAACCTTAGGTCAACAGCTCAGCGATCCAGATAAGAGGATGAAAAAGGGTTGCAGATTGATTCTGATTTCAGACTGATGGATATCGGGTCTGAAGAACCCGATTCTAAGCCCGATAAAGGCCCACAATTGTGCGAGGTAAGCAAATCCAGGTGCGCGTAATGGGCCAGGCCTATCAATACGCATATGGGTAACGAAGCAGACGACCCAATCATGGGCTAAATAGAGACGACCCAGTCTGAGAAAGGAGCAGGACACGTGGCCCACACCCCAAATCGTGGGGGAAACGGAAAGAAATCAAGACCAGAAAAAAGGGAATCACGACCCCATGATCTCCATAAACCTTCCCATTATGTGTAATTTTAATGGAGAGACGAGAAGTACTATAAGAGGAGGAAGAACCCGCCATCGTAAAGGGGGAGAAAAACAATTGATTACACACCCAATAAGAAAGATTATTAAGAGATTATATTCCTGATTTTTATTCCGTTCTAAGTCCGCCATCTGATCGGGTTAATCCCATCACAGACTCTTAGCAAAAGTGGAATGAATGGTATGTTAGTTGAAAATGAACACTACTTTATTTAAGAATGAGTACCAATTCGTTTCGAAATGAACACTACGTTATTTGTAAATGAATATTATAATTGTATTGTACAAATATGTGAACAGGAGTATTACATTATTCCAGAATGAGTACTAGATTATTTCAGAATGCGTA